CTCCATTGATGAGGGAGTTTCAGAATCTTCCTTTCAGGAATGGCGACAATCGTAGCAGTTGTAGGAACTGCTGGAGGTATTGCAAATAGAACATAAGGTCCATTTTCGATATAGTATAGAATTTCAGGATCCACATCTTCCAAGAAAAGAGATATCCGATTCTTCCAAAGACTAAGTTGTCTCTGATGAACCGGGGAGGTTTGGCTAGAGAGTCATTATCGTGAAAGTTTGTGTTTGTGTTTTGTAATGCCATTTGAATGGTAAAAAGTTATCTTAAAGAAAGAAGAGATAATAAAAACTGCTCTGATACCACTTGTTGGTCCCAAACGGATCTACAAGAGTTTAGAGGTAACATTTTGTAGGAGGGGTGAATACAAACAAATCAGTTTTCACTTTTTAAAATCCTCTATTGATAAAGAAGATCAATACATAATTTACAGACTGTTTCCGGAATAAGATAAGATAGATAACTTATCTAAAACAATCTAAGGAACACATAAGATACAAAAAACAAGAAAGAAAATACTTTCTAAAAGAAGAAACAATAACTTTGCTAAAGAAGAGCTTAGTTGATGTTCTTCACTTGAAGTAAAATTGAAAGATTAAGAAGTCTTGTGCTTGTAAGGAAGTCCTTTCTTGGGTAGAAAGTTGATCTTCAATATATAAGTTTCTTGGCTTAGTTGGTTGGATGGTTGCTGAGGAGGAGGAGCTTCTCAACTATTTATATCTATTGCATTAAGTGCAAGTCAGATAGTACAAGGCACGTGGCAAGATTCTAGAGGTGTGCTTGTCCTTTGTTTCCAGATATACAGGCTTTTGACGTATATAAACAATAGACTTTCATAAAGTAGGTAAGCACGTTTAGAGACAATAGAGTGACTCTGTACGAGTGTTTTACTTTGAGAGGTATGGTTTTGTCCTTTGTGTGTAGGAGGATAAGAAAAAAACTAATCTTGATCAACAAGATTCATTTGATCGCTGATGCTAGAATAACACTTCTTTAGTGTATGATGAACCTTGAGTAGATTTCACACATGTGTAGACAGACTTGTTATCACTGAAACTGCATTAGATCACGAACTGTTTGTCTCTGTTCTTCAGCTTTATCTTTGATATCACTGAAAGTTCTTATGGTGTGAGTTTTGTCTTCTTGAAGAATACTATCTCTGAGAAATATAATACTTGTTCAGCGATCACTGAACAGACTTAGTGATGATCGCTGAAACTGAATAAAGAGAAAATACTTTTCAAAAGATAAAAAAGATCATCATCAAATCATTGAGAGAGATGATCAACGTGATGAAAGATGGTGGCCATCTAGTTTCTATGGCCATCTTTCGAGACAATGATGATGCTGTTACGAAGTATCCTTCCTTTCTCAGCAGATACGACTTCTATGAATGGCTCTAGATTCGACATGCAATTCAAAAATCCAAATCCAAGCATAAGGCTTAAATTGAAGAAGTTCTTAATGAACTATTCAACAAAGTGTCGAAGATTATCGAGGTTCCATCTCTGCCACATAAGTCCTCTCGAAGAAGAAAGAACCTTTTTGCTCCTAGAGAAGGTTCGTCCCACAAAAAATGAACATGAAACAAAAATTTTAGTGGATGAACTCTTCAAGACTAAGAAGAAGCCAGATATCTTAATGTTGAATCTGTCACCGCCTGAGAGGGGACCTATCATTCCTAACACAGTGCATGTGAAACCTGAGTATGGACTTATGTTTATTGACTATGATGGTCAATACAGGATTCAGTGATTATCTGAGTTAAATCTCTGCCTGATGGATCACTTAGAGTATCTTCGAATTTGGCTGAATGAAGACCTATTTAGAGAGATGATGGACCATGGGATCCGAAAAGAAATGCTGGAAAAAAAGATTCGAGGAGAAGATGTCCCTAGCTTCATCAACTTCAAAGATCTAAATTAAGAACCTTTCAATCTTGTAACCCTTGTAATTTTTATTTTCTTTCAATGTATAGCTTTTATTTTTTAAGTTCACCAAACCAATTGTAATCATTTGTAATATTTTGACTTGAATGATAATTTCAATGTAATGATTGGTTCACTGAAAAAGATCCCTGAAAAGAGTAAATGGGAAATGTACTTACGAGTTCTTTTTATCTTACATCTCTACCACATTTTTTGTCGGTGAATATGCTCTCAGTGTTGAATTATCCAGCTTATGTAATTTCATTATTTCTTTGTAATCCTTTACAAATAAAAGAATTTCCATAATAAACTCCGACTCTGAAACAAATCCCAAATATAGTAAAAAGGGACATGTATTTTACAAGTATCTTTTCCATATTGTACCAACTAAGAAATTTTATTTATATTGCTTTGTCATCATCAAATAGGGGGATATTCTTGATCCATACTCTTTTAATGATTTGATGATGATCCTTTTATATCTAGCGAAAAATACTTAATTCTGTTTTATTCAGTTTTAGCGATTTTCATTGAGTTTGTTCAGTGATCGTTGAAAATGTATTTTTAACATATCTAGTAAACAAGTATTCTTCAAGAAGACAAAACTCATACCAAAATAACCTTTAGCGATGTCAAAGATAAAGCTGAAGATAGAGACAAGTTGTTTGTGATCTGATACAGTTTTCAGTGATAACAAACATATTTACAATCAAGTGTAAAGTATGTTCAAGATTCAGTGAACACTGAAGAAACTCTAGAGTTATGTCAATGACATCGATCAAATGAATTTGGCTATACAAGATTAGTTCTTGTCTTATCCTCCTGCACACAAAGGACAAACCAATACCTCTTAAAGCAAAACACATGTACGGAGTCACTCTATTGTCTCCAAACGTGCTTACCTACTTTGTGAAAAACCACTGTTCATATACGACTAAAAGCAGGTATATTTGAAGACAAAGAACAAAATCACCTCTAGAAGCTTGTCACGTGCTTTATACCTTCTGACTTGCATTTAATGCGATGAGTATAAATAGCTATGAAGACTCTTTTCTTTATAGACACAAGAAGCACAAATCTTAATCCCACGAAGTTAACCTTACTTCAAGCGAAGAACTGCACCTACATGCAAAACTAAGCTTTCTCTCAAGCGAAGTTATAACATCTTCTTAAGCAAGTCTTTTCTCTCATGTTTTCTCTCATGCTTTTATGTATCTGGTGTGCTCTTTAGAATGTTTAGATAAGTTCTTTAACTTGTCCTTCTTCTACAAACAATCTTTAAATTTTGTATTAATCTTCTTATATCAATAAAAGGATTCTAAAAGTGAAATTTAGTGTGTTTGTATTTATCCCCTCTTCTACAAACTGTTATCTTTAAACTTTTATAGATCCGTTTGGGACCAACAACAAGCATTCACATTTCTAGTTTGCAAACACTTATGGGGATCAATATATGTCTTCACCATCCAAGTTTCATCATCTTTACTTGTTGAGACATGCAACACCCAAGTACATTTTTCATTTACAGCTTCTTCCTCTATTGTCTCACTTACCCCGGTATTAAATATTGGTAATTTTCTGTTGCAAACTGCCCCCAAGCTTGTCTGATCATTTTCTATTATCATTCTATTCCTTCTAGTTTCTATTGCATAAAGCTTTACAAATTTCATCATATCTGCCTTGCTACCAAATGTTTGCCTAACATAGAAGCTGGGATGTAAAGAAACTACTACTTCTTTCTGCTTTTGAACCTTCCTTAAACATTTTTTCCTTCTTGATTCGAAATCAGAGTCTGATTCACAATCAGAATCTTCATGGTTGGTTATATCAACCTCAACATCATCTATCATATTCCCTTCATCACCCAAAGTTGCTTCCACATTATTGCTTTCATCTACCTCCATACTCTCTTTATTGTTTTCAGATTCCTCCACATTTATGCCTTCACCGAAGAAAAGATCAAAACCATCAGTCATTTCGGTTTCCATTGTCGGCAACCCTTGACCCAACCCACTGCCTTCACCAATATTTGATACCATTTTGTCTGAATGCTATTCCAAAAGTAATTTCTTCTTACATTTACCAGTTCCCACATTCGAACCTCCCTCGTATGGTAGTTCCTGAATTTTAACATTATATACTTGTGAGGACTTCGAATAGGTGTTCACATTGGTCTCCAAATGTTCTGTATGTACATCAATTACCTTGAATTCAGGAAAGTATTTCAACAACATCAATACATATTTATCGTTCCTTAATGGTTGCAAACCAAATTTCATATCAATATTGGAACTCATGAAGCGGTAAAAAATCAGTTCATGATTTGGGTAACCTAAATCTTGTGTAATAGAAACAAGATCATAACTGATAAATGGTCAATATCTATCAAATCCACATAAGTGATTTTACCATCCATGTATTTTTTTTATCATGACCCTTCGTAAAGACTCCACCGTGAATTGATGTATCTTCATAGACATTAAGGTGGGGTAAAGTTCTGTAAGAGAAGATACAAATACTAGATGAATATACAAATTTCAGTAAATACAAAACTTAAACCCATCAGTAAGAATCTGACATACATAACCATAAATCTCGTTAGGATCGAATTTTTTCATCTCGTCCTCTGATGTGCCACATAATATCGACTATTCACCAATTTTGACCGATTTTTATCTGTCAATCATGATTTACCGTGGGATCGTGTGGATGAAGCGAGACCCTGAGAACTAGGGTTTCAGATCGTGTGGTGAACTTTCTTGTTTGAGATTAAAAGTCAAAGTAAATAAGAGGGTGGAAGGTTTTACTAAAAACAAAAAAGTTGGACATTCTTACCCCTGGATGGGGTTACAGTTTAACAGGAGTTACTGGAAGAAACTTTATTGAAAAGGAATGGCAATGACCAAATTTATAATTAGTTTAAAATAGGGGACTACTTTTGATAGTAAATGATAACCGTAAGGACTAAAAGTGTAATTTACTCCTATTATTCATAGGATTATAAAAATGAAAACCAACAAACCCATCAACGTCGTTGAATTATTGTCACTAACCTCACTTTACTTTTCCTGGAATCACATGGTCTCAAAAACCCCACTGTCTTCTCTTTGTCACTTCACACACATAAGAAAATAGAACCGTGTGTGCGTTTTAGCGTGTGAATTTCAAGCTACACCCAGATAGATTCGCATTCTAAAGTGCTTGATTTCATCTTTTTTATCTTCAATTTTCTGTTTTTCTATATGGGGTTTCGATTGATTTTATCAAAAGACCAAATCTTAAATAACCGTGTGTTTGGTAGTACTTAATTTCTTAACAACACTCAGTTTCTTTGATTCTTTCATCTGGGTTGCAGTCATGAGTATGTACGGCAGAGATCCGTGGGGTGGGCCATTAGAGATAAACACGGCGGATTCCGCGACCGACGATGACCGGAGCAGGAACCTGAATGACTTTGACAGGGCGGCGCTTTCCCGTCCTTTAGACGAGACGCAGCAGAGCTGGCTGTTGGGTCCTGGAGAACAGAAGAAGAAGAGGTATGTAGATCTGGGTTGTATCATCGTCAGCCGTAAGATCTTTATTTGGACTGTTGGAACGATCCTAGCCGTTGCTTTCACTGCCGGAATTATTACAGTAATAGTCAAGAATGTGCCTAGGCATCACAAACATCCACCAGCACCAGATAATTACACTATTGCTCTACAGAAAGCTCTCAAGTTCTTCAATGCCCAAAAGTGTAAGTTAACCTTCCTAGTTTGCTCAGATCTTTATTTTTAATTGCTTCCATTGCATGTTACAGAGGTATGATTCATGATAGATTGATCTGATCAATTTTTTGATTTGTTATGTGGTTGAAAGTGATATATTATCATTTGATTATAGTTTGTTATGTGTTTTTATACTTATTATGTGTATGGATGATTTAATAATTAAGTGTTAAACATGAGAAGTCTACATCAAGTATTTGGTCAGCTAATATGACCATTTGGTAGTGGTTTAATGATATAGAAAGTTGCTTATTCGGGGAGAGCTTTTACGCAGAAAGCCAAGTTTTTTCCAAACCAGCCCTCAATCAAAAAACACTCTCCTTTCCATTTGTGAAAAAACCCTACCAAACAAAAACCTTACCAATCTATTAAGACAGATTAATCCATACAGACTGGACTCGGTGGAAAACCAACTAAACAGCCCCCAAGTGTTTTTTGAGGTCACATTTGATCATATTGATTGGCTACCTTGGGGTAGAGGAAAGGTCTGGGGACATCTTACTCATACTTCGTGATGGCAACCATAAGATAGCTTATTCTTTGAGCTTATTGATGAGCCCCTGTTTGGTAAGACAAACATTTCAAGAGCTACTTCAGATAGCTTAAAGGGGGGAGGGGGGGGGGGTTCCCATTTTTTTTCCTTCCAATTACGCCCCTTTTAATTTATGTAAATTTGTGCTTATGTTTTCCTTTTAGGTCATTTTACTTTGTATCTAGCTTATCAATTATTTTGTATCAAACGTGACTAGCTTATCATCTAGTATTTACAAACATGACTAGTTTATCAGATAACAACTAGCTTATTAGCCGACAGCTAGTTTGTTTAACATAGCCTTATTGTTTTTGTTTGGTTTGGTTTTATTTAAGTATACACTACATCTTACAAAGGCGCAACACTATGGATGTTTAAGGGCATAGTGTTATCGTTATACCATTTGTTTGTAAAGGTGTAATGGCTCTTGGCATAGTCTTGCTTCTTCTAGTGTGAGGGTTTATTTTAAGATTCGGTTGTTCATCACAAATTTGTAGTTTTTGGTTACGAATTTCAGTTTGTTTATGCTTAACTTGTATTATCTGAATGTATCTCCCTTTTATCATCGTTAATTCTTGCAGCCGGAAAGCTCCCCAAGCATAATAATGTGTCGTGGAGAGGTAATTCATGTTTAAACGATGGGAAGTTGGACAAATCTGGGGCTGTAATTAAAGATCTAGTGGGTGGGTATTATGATGCCGGGGATGCGATAAAGTTTCATTTCCCCAAGGCTTTTGCCATGACTATGTTGAGTTGGAGCGTGATCGAATACAGCGCCAAATATGAAGCTGCTGGAGAGCTTGCCCATGTTAAAGAGATCATTAAGTGGGGCACTGATTACTTTCTAAAGACGTTCAATTCTACGGCCGACACCATAAGCCAACTTGTGGCTCAGGTTGACTTTGAAATCTTTTTTCAATGTGAATTGTAACCGTTATTTAAAATAGTATTTGTCCCACATCGCCAGGTTGTCAAGATTGATATATATATATATATATATATATAGGGGCCTATTCAAGGGAGAACTGAGTTGTTTGTGGTAACTGTGAGAATCAATATTAACCACAAATCAATAGATAAATTAGAAAATTTATAAATTTGGTAATTTTAAATTAAAATCTTAATGCAAGGATATTTTTGGTATTTTAAA